TTTTTGCCTAATACATATTGTTTTGATTTCTTCTATTTTTAATTTAATTTTTTCTTATTGTTTGTAATCTTTTTTTTGTTCAAACTTTTTCAATTTTCTTTTATTTTTTATATTTTTTTTCTTTTTCTTCAGAATTTTTTACTATTTTTTATTTTTAAATTTTTTTATTTGTTTTTATATAGGGTTTTTATGTATTTGTACATTAGTATTATTTTTTCTTTGAATATTTGTTTTTTTTCCTATTTATTTGGCCTAGGTTAGGTTACTAAAAATTGTTTAGTATGTTTTCTTTAAATGCAATAAGGTTTTACTTTTTCGAAAAGAGTTGCCACCTGTTAAATAATTACACTCAAGTTGTCTAATAATAGATGAAATTTTAAAACCAGATTTCAAATGAAAAAGTTTTAAGAAATATTTAGTTTGACAATTTAGAATATTTTTGATGTGTTTGAGGGTTGCCCCAGTTTAAAAGGTTACATTAAAATTATTTAATCAATTAAATGAGTTACTAAACGATGGTTATCAATAGAAATGGGTTTAAAATCCTTTATTTCAGAACTATATTTAGGAGGGTTGCCACACGTTTAAAAAATAATTTCAATTTAATTCATCAGTTACTTGAAATATTTGTAAAAATGTCATACGAAAAATATTAAAGGAATTTTGGTTCGAAAATAGTTTTCAAGAGGGTTGCCGCTTAAAAAACCAAATTCAAATTAATTCTTCAGTTAATTGAAATACATATGTATAACAATGCCAGGCGATAAAAAGATTTTAGTTTAAAAATACTTTTAAAGGGGTTGCAAACTGTTTGAAAAGTCGAATTTGTTTTCCTTATACACAAGTACATAAATGCAATATCGAAATATTAGTGTCAAACGAAAGAGTTTTAAGAAAACTATAGGCTAATAATACTTTTAATTAGGGTTGCCATCTATATTTTTTTTTAAATGCATCACATCAGCAACGTTATTTCGAATTTGCAATATGCAATGTGCAATAACGTTTTATTTTTTGAAGCTAGAACTTTTTAGCGGTACAGAGAGATTTGAAATTTGATTAAATGAAAACCCACACCATGCGAGACCTCTCATCACTCAGAAATGGTTTAAATGAATCATTAAGAACATTTTTGATGTTTTTTAATAGGGTTTCACCTATTTAAGAAAGTTAAATTCAATTTTGGCGTTTGAACGCCATGCGGGTTCACTAGTTGCTTATACTACTTACTTCTTCTTTTTTTATTTTTTACCATCCAGCCCTAAACCTTATTGCAGTTTAACACTTATGCAGTTCATTTCATCTCTTTTCCCCGCCTTTCAATGCTCAAAATAGAAGAAATCAGCCGTTTGTCGGGAGAACTATCAAAGAGCTGAACTCTTTGATTCAGATTTCGGCCAAAATTTCATCTGAGCAGCAAAAGCTAAGGCCCTGTCTCCACAGGAAAACACTGATGTCGTGATAACCATGTCACAAAATATATTTCCAATGGAGACCGCCTATTTCTTATGTGCTGCAATATATGTCAGCGCTTATTGCTTGACATCTATTGCAGGCAATTCGATAGTTTGACAGCCATATTTTCATTTGAAAGAAAGCGTGCTGGTGGTAACATCGATGAAATTTTGATATTAAATCAAAATAAAAATCTGTTCCGTATTGGATAATTTATGATTACGTTTTAGGAAATTATTTAGCTAGTTTTTTAAAGATTTAAATGTTTTTAAACACCGAAATTGAGAGAATGTTGTCTGGTGGCGTCATGCGGCAAATGCTTATTTCAAGACATCAAAGTGCCCACACACAAAAACTTGCAATCACATTGCTCGTCAAAATGACAGTTGGTAGGCCATCGCTGTTCGCCTGTGGAGTTCTGCGGTAATGATGTGACTAGCAAAATTTTATTTGTACAAGAGTTTAATACGCTCAAAGCACTAAGTATATCGGCACAAACTTTTTCTCACCTCTCTCTTTCCACTTAGCAGCAAACTATAAAAAGTGTACGCTCAACAGTTGCCAGTAGCAGGTGATGCATTGATGTAAAAACACGTGCTAAAAAGCGTAGAGCAACCAAAATAAACACCAGATAGTAAGCTTTGTGCAAAGCATTTTCTCGCTTATACATTAACATAAAACCATAACAACAAATCAAAATGTCTGGAAAAACTGACGCCCAGACAATACGCAAATACTATAATGTCGCATTGGAATTGGTAATGAAATGTCGTCCAATAGCAATGGAAGGTTATGAGAAAACCGAAGCTGTCTTTGAAACAAAAGCAGCTTACTTTGATTTGGTAACAGAATATGATAAAAAATTGGAGTATCTACTCAGCATGGAGTTGCAAAAAGCCTTTCCCGAATCAAAATTCATTGGTGAGGAAGATATGGCGGATAAGAAGAAGAAGCCAGAGCTGACAGATGCACCCACATGGATAATTGATCCCATAGACGGAACAACAAATTTCATACACCGTTTTCCTAATTGGTGTATTTCAGTCGGTTTGACAATACGCAAGGAATTAGTGGTGGGTGTAGTGTATTTACCAGCGGTAAATGAAATGTACTCGGCGTGGATAGGACATGGCGCTTATCTTAATGGGCAGCCTATCAGTGTTAGCAAGTGTACTAATGTGAGTAGATGAAGAGTTGTTGAGATTTTTTATTTAATTTTAATTTTTTATAGTTTTATGATAGTTAAGAGATAAAAGTAATAAAAAATTTATATTTTATACTTGACTTTTCATTTTTTTCTTTGCAGATCAAAAGCGCTGTTATAGGGGCAGAAATGTCACTTATTGTGCCGGTACCTGTGCGAGATAAAAATGTTAAGCGCCTGTGTAAGCTAGCATCGAATTGCAGTGGGTTAGTTATGATGAATAGATAATAATATTTATTTGAGCTAAATCCCCCCAAAAAAACTTACATATTATCTCCTTATTATTTCAGTTGTCGTGGGTTAGGCAGCGCCGCTGTATCCCTTTGCTATGTGGCACGTGGCAGCATTGATTGCTTTTTCGTAGAGGATTTGCAAGCATGGGACATTGCTGGTGGTGCCTTGATAATACGCGAAGCTGGTGGCTATGTATGCCATACAAAAGGTGGCGAATTTTCAGTATTAAAACCCGATTGTATAGCTGCAGCAACACCTGAACTAGCTAAGGATGTGATAGCATTGATCGAGGAAGCTGATCAGTTGACCGAATTTACTTTTACGTGAATAACTGCTAGTGAATGATAACACAAGCGAAAACCACCACAATATTGCCAAATAAATACAGTGAATGTGTAAGGTATCTAATTTTCATCAGAAAGTGCTAAAATTTAAGAAATAATAAATAAAAAATAACTTTAAAAAAAATTGTAAGACAAGATTTTATAATTGGTAAATAAAAGGAAGAAAAATCTACTCCCGTACCACCTAACGGCTAAATTTTGTTTGGAGTAATTTCTTCCATTTCATTAATATTCCTAGGTTCTAAATATGAAACACATCGTACCATAAATACGGATTTTCCAAATATCCCGACTCCTGCATCACCTATCGACCAATATTTTTGTGGAGTTATTCCTTTTCAAATATCTCGACACCTACGCCAGCTAGCGGATTAATTCGTCTGTCGCATTGCATTGTCATCGGGTTCTGAGAAGTTTCAAGTTTCTATGTGTAGATCAGGACGAATGGATAAGCGTTGAGCCAAGAGCTTGTGTGAGCAAATCCAATTTTTGTCAGTTACGCGGTTTTGCAGAACGACGATACGCGGTTTTGTACTTTAAACGACGATATGTATGTGTACATACACAGACAAAACATATTGTTTCGATTTATTGCAGATAGTAAAACTTTATACGGAAGATTCTTTCTTTTAAATCATTAGATTAGAAAGGGATTATTGTGAAGAGATTAGCTGCAGCTCACATAGATATGAATATGTACGTACTAAGAATACATATTATACAGACCGGCAGATAGCTTTTGTGAGTGGCAAAAATCGTCTGTCAATATTTTTCCCAGGTGCTGGCGGCTAATGATTTTATTCCCGCCGTGGATTTTGTTGCCTATCGCTGTATCGAGAGCCGGGAAGGAAGGAAGGCTGTCGAATGCAATACCCGTGTTATTAGAATGGTTTAAGGTAAGGATTTCTATTCCATCGACCTCCATGTCCAATTCCAATTCCAATTTATTTTAAGGGTATCGCGTTGTAGCTCACGAATGATACTGGCATGAGCCAAATTTTTCGGTGGGATTAATTAAATAGATCAATTTTATGATTCGCTTGGGGAAACACAACCCATTTTCGTTTGTATATCCAAAATCGCCGCTGCTACGATGCCGCCTCTCCACACTCCAGATTTTTGAAGATTGAAGCTATTGTGTCAGTGTTTGTAGTTATCTTTCATCATTCATATATACATATATTTGATTTTGGCAAAAAACATCTCTCCACAGCTGTTTTCCAGCTATATCTTTGGTGATCCTTCTTTTGGATAATGCCATCAATGCCGCTACCTTACCTTAAGCATACCTCAGGTGGGCTTTGATTGCCAATCTCTTGTCCAGAATAAATATTTTATAGACGGTTTAATTGTGACAACATGGGTGTCCATCCGTATTTCTATGGCCAACAGTTTTTGTCGAGCTTATGGGAGTAACATTTCTGTCTTTTGTAAGGCCAAATACTATTCAAAGTTGTTGAGACAATCTTTCATTCGGCTAATTGCGGTTTTTCTTGATTGTATTCAGTTGCTTCGCTGTAATAACTTCGGCGGGATCATCCGCGAAACCTACGATGTTGGAGCATGCATTCGGCTGACTTAACAATAGGAGAATATATGATAAGCTCATTATCCTATTACGTCGGACCATTCAAAGTCGTTTCTAGTATCAAGTGTTATGACTAGGAAATATTCTATAATGTATTAATATCTGCATGTACCACAGAATTTCCTTTCCTAAATGCAAATTGGTTGGGCGAAATCCCACCAATCACTTATACTTCCATAGCTCCAGACGTGCTCCAATACTTTACCGGCAGAATCGAGCAAGCATACGGGCCTAAAACTGGACGGGATAACCACCAATAGGAGTGTACTCGTACGCCCAACTATCTAAAGTTTTAGAAAACTTATACTGTTTTTGCGTTCTCGTACCCAAAAAACTTGCAAAGTAGGGGAAATTGAGAGAGCAAAATGTGAAAGAGAGCTGCAAATTTCTGCTGGAAAAATTTTTCCCAGCTAAAACTTGCAAGTAAGAAAATCAGCTGATCACAAACACATGTTTGTAAATAAACAAAAGAAAATATGGCCTTTTTGAGTTATTTATTGCAAATTTTATTATTAAAGCTAGTATACAACGAAAAAGTGAGTAAATTTAATATGCACAACGTTTGTTGAGTTTATTTTTCGTTAATTTGCCATTAATCTCCAGTTTGTTTACTCTAGTGTCTGCTGACTATGGTTGCCGTATGACAGTTTTCGTTTGTACCATAATTTTCCTTTAAACATACCAAACTAGATTTAAATGCAGCATGCTGAAATGTTTTTTTGCTGAAGTTTGCGGTTTTGGTAGGTTGAAATGAATTTTATAATTTTAAAGATAAATCTGTAGCTATATCTATTACATTTCTATTGGATCAATGATGGGTGTTTGGAGGAGATAATCTGGTTTTTGAATGTGTCACCATGTGATATCCTAAATAATTATGAAAGAAATAACTTATTCACTCCGATATAATTAATTTGTATTTAAAAAGGTTTTTCTTATCCAGAACTATTCAATTGTATAAAATGCCAAATCGGGGGAAAATGTACCAAGCAGAAAATAAATTGCCAAATTAATCACCAGTGGCAACGGTGCAAGTGATCAGCTGTTTCGAAGGTTGCAAGTTTTTGCAAATTTCGCGTTTTCGTACTTCTGTTGATATTTCGTCTCTTTGAGAACAAATGCTGCTAAATTCTCAGAACTTTTGCTGCTGGAGAATTTTGTACTCTCAATACGAGTACACACCTAATGTAAGTACATACATATGTATGTGATTTTGATATTTATCTCTTTTGAACACCGGCTATAATGTCAAATTATGAATAACTTTTAACCCTTTTCAAGTTTATATTTTTAATATTTCATTAAAAATTCAATTGCGTGGCTGTGAGATAGTTTATGAATTGTGTGAATATTTTTGTTTTTGGACCACATCCATTTATAAATACATATACAAAAATGAAAAGGAGCAGGATCTACGAGCTTTGCATTGTGTGTGGCAAGAGCGAAGACGTAAAAGTGGTGCGATACTTTAAGCCGCCCAGTTTTGAAGTTAGAAGACTTCGTTGGGAGGACAGCTGCGGTGTTCAATTGGAAGATTCTTCCCGTGTGTGTGAAAATCATTTCAACGGGATTGATTTCATTACTAGACCATTGCAGGCAAATATTTTTACGCGCATGCGTTTATACCCGAGTACAGTTCCCACGCCCTGGGAGGTTCTTGTGCCTGAAATGTCTGAAGCACACGAAAGTTCAGAAGTGACAATATCATCTGTTGATGGGCAGACGCAAACTGAGTAAAAGGGTCCATACATGATACCAGCAATTCTTAACAACTTAAACGGGAAAGAGATCTCTCATTGCAAAAATTGTATCAAGAAATTTTTAGAATAAAGTCTTCATATAAATTTACAAGAAAACATTAAATCATAAATTTTATAAGTGCCGGATGTTTTTTAGAATTAAATATTTAAATAAGAAACTAAAGGCGCAAAAACATAGGGCGAATAAATACAAAAAAATGTTCAAACCAGTTTCATAAAAGATTTCTTTCATTTTGTTCGCGTGGTTTCCTTTATGAGGTATTCGTTCTATCCATATATGTATGTCCATATATACATATGTCCATATATATATGTGCATATAAGAGCAATTAAAATTCTTCGAAGATAATATTGAAGTAATTCTTAAAATTAGTATACGTACATAAATATGTATTTATTTATGCGTTTCAGTTGATGCTAATTTGTAGTAAACATAGCACTCGCACCTCAAAGGGTTAATTTGTTTGTTTACAGTTTTTTGACATTATAACTAGCTACATGAGAGTTTGAGCTGGTTGTCACTTCCACCTTATTAAATATGCCTTGATTGACAAAAATAAAAATATTTAGGTGTATCTCGATTCAGCTGAACTTAGTTATACATACATCTATAAGTCAATTATCAGTATGCAAATGAGATAAGATAAAAATACGATAAGAGCGAAAAGTTAACGAATATGTATATGTACGCTAAATATACATCCCAATAAACATTTTGGCGAACGTTCGAAAATGACTTTCAAAATCCAATATGAATTTCGAACTGAGAACCAACTCATAAACAACCTTAGTTTTCCAACGTTCATAGTATATTGGAAATACACTCGAGATGGGTTCGAAAAAAAATGGAAACCATAGTAACAAGAGAGAAAATGAAATCCAGCTCATTCTCGAAGGGAAATATAAGAAAATCACTCTCTCTCAATAAAATTCCAATTCGATAATGGGCAGGGTTTCGAATTCATAACGAAAGAAAAATACATTTGATAACGAAGGTTCCGTTTTGCTGGAGAATGGCCTAGTTCTCGAATAGAATACTAACCTAGGTAAGGTAAGACTCGAAAAAAAGATTGGTTTTCCAATCGTTTTCGAATTGTTAACCCAGCCGAATGTTTATTGGGATACCACATATGTATAATTGGTGCTCAAACTTTTATTTTAATGTATGTATGTATAAGTTTACACGTGTATATGTGCATTAGGGTGGTCCTTAAAATCAAATGAGCGACACACCTTAACCGACTCCAATCGGGGCCAAAAATTTATATGTGATATCTTCGACTATAGTAGTGTCGATTTTGGGTATTAGATGAAAAAATAGTAATTTTAATTTTTTGAGTCTCCATAGAGGAATCTGAACTTTGCCCCCTATACGACACGCCTTAACCGTCTCCAATCGAGACCAAAGTTTATATGTCATATCTTCGACTATAGGGCGAATTAATTTGTATGGGAGACTTTTTCCGACTGTGCGCGTATAGCGCCGAAGGACGCTACGTGTAGTTCTAAGAAACTTTGTCGACGAGACCATGGGTCTAAAATAAATTTGGGTTTCTAAGCATTTTTTTGTAGTGTCGTAAATAATAGCTTAAATTTTAAAACTTCTACCAAAGGGCGCAACAGTGGACATTTTCACTTTTTTTTCGAAACCTATTTTCCCAAATTGCCAAACTCCAAATTTATTTCAGACACACACAGTTTCTTCGGCAAATTTGCTTAGAATTACACGTAGAGTCCTCTTAGGCTATAGACGCACAGTAAAAAAAAAAAATAAAAATGAAC